TCAAGCAACACTTGATGCTACCTAGAGAGCAAATGTGCGAACCAAGATCGGATGGCGACTCTGAATGGGCCGATCCAGAAGATGGCCTCAGTAGTATGAAAGCACAGAAACTATCTGAACAGATGGGCAATAAGATTTTCGACTCGTGGGATGAGCTGTGGAGGTGGCTATTCCCTCTTGACAGAGTGGTACCGAAGCCTGGTGAGTATTCTAGATCCAAGAATGCGAACACATTCACTGACAGGCTTTAGTTGCCTTGCCCGCCGTAGAGCTGCCGCTGGTAGAACAGGAAGTCTTTGCTGCGGGCAACATGTCGAACTTGAAGGCTAGCTTGGAGGAACGGCTTCGGTTTCTCGCCTCGCAATCGGCCGACAGCGGCTCGTTTTCCGCGCAGATACCCGTTATCACTGCGTCCCTATCCCTGGATGTTGAAGCGCATCTCAGAAGCGTCTTCATCTCTTGTCGCAATCAGCCGCCTGGTCACACCGGAAAGTCATCAGCGTCACTGGACACAACAACTGGTCGACCACGTAACCTGTCGTCTGCGTCCAGCTCCAGCACCAGGAGTCTACAACGATTCTTTCAGCGTGGTCCTACGATTGCCGTCAATGAAACCAAGGGTGCGGCTTGGGACGGCCCCGGCCTTGAACGTCAACGTCAACGCCAGACAAGCAACAGCAACGAAGCGAGGCGCGAAAAGCTGACACGGGCCGCAACGCTTCCAGTCCCAACAATGCTCACGATACCGTTCCCGCGCATATCAGCCTTGACAGAGCACTCTGACGTGGGCCCTAGCCCAGTCTCGGAACACGACACCTCACCCAAAGCCCACTCGGACGCAGAGTACTCTTCGGGCGTCGAGTCAACACCGAGCAGCGCCGGCGGCTACCGGGAATCTAGCAATAGCAACAAGACAGCAGACATCCGGTGCAGCAAGTGCAACATGAGAGAGAGTCTCCGACCGGGCGAAGACATCTTCTCAGACAAGCGCCACTTCAGCAGTTCCTCGGCTGCGGCGCAGGGAACACTGAAGTTGTCGTGTAGGTTCTCCGACTCGGGAATTGGGATCCTCTGTAAGAGTTGTCGGATGCTTGAAGAGTTGATTAGTTCGTACTCGCGGGCTTCATCACAGGCGTCGGCAAAGTCTGAGCGACTAAGTCTGCCGATAGCAGGTGGTGGTGTTGGTGGTGTTGACGGTACCACCGCGAGGAGTACCACCACGAGCGCGACAACCAACACGAGCTTGAATACAGCCCCGAAGACGGCGCCGCCGTTCTCGCCGAACCCGTCTGTCTCGGTGGACGAGAGCGAAGAGGAGACGTTGTTTGATTTGATTCTCGACTCGGCGACGTACCTGGATGAGGACGGGCAGCGTAAGACAGAGGTTGTGTCGCCCATGTTCCCGCCTCCGCAGATTGGGTTTTCAGAGTACGATCGATATGGGGGCCACGGCGGCGGTAATTGGTTTTGACTCTTTGCCGTTCTGCTCTGTCTCCTTTTAGGATGTTTCTGTCGTTCTTCATCGGGTTGGGGGCGCGGAAATGGAGTGGTGTTTGGCGTTTGGGAACCGGCGTCGCGCACTGCTTTCGGTTTCAGCCGGTTGGAAGTAAAATTGTTTGATTATTCCCCATTTGTTATTGTTTGGCCATAAGCTTTGATTTGGTATTTGCTAGGTCATATGGGATACCGAGGCTTCTATTATGACATTGTAGATACCCACAAAATCCGTGTGATATTGTTCTCTGCCTCTTTGAATACCACATTTCCACTCGTCATTCGGTGCGACAGTGATCTTTTAAAATAAGTATACAGGTGCTCTTGTTATTTTACGCCAAGCACAGCTTTTTGGAGACTTTGACTATCCGTCATGTCAGATATTGTACGAAACCTGGGGTTGGATGCCCGCCGTGTCCGAGCAGAGGATCCGTCAGCCCATGTTCCTGGCCAAGAATGCAGGTGCTCGTCGATCTGCACCAGCAGACCCCGCAATTTTAGTGAACTCCTGTGCGTACGTACCTTGGGTAATGAAAGTATCGTGTAAGTCGTCTCTCTCTCATTGAGGAGCCTCACAAACAGCATCCGGCGCAATCCTTAAGCTATGTATTGAGCTAGACATCTAGAGGATCCATACAGTAATATATCAGTCTCCGTATCATGTTCAATTCTTTACAGAAGCTTTGCTGTTTTGAAGCGAGTGACGAGAAGACTTGCAGTGGTACTACCCAGACCTGCGAAGCTAACCGCATCAGCCAATTCATCGGATCGGGACGCCCAGTGACGTCGAGGAACAAGGGGTAACCCGCCCTACCGTGGGGTAGACGTCATCCTTACAGCACAGCTTTACTGTAGAGGCGAATTGGGGGGAGGTAGGTAGCAGTTAGCTGTAGGTAAGCTCAGAGCTTCTAGCTTTCAGATGTAAGGGCCATTCGGAAACATGCCACCAGAGCTCGTTCCGGAGCTTCCCCTCCTCCCTGTTTACATGTGCCATTCAAATACTATCTAGTACCCTCTGCCCCTTCTCTTCTTCTCCCTTCCCATCGAAAGTTTCATTGACGGTTTCCTTACGTTCGTCATACGATACCATTGAGTCCAGTCTACGACAATCCAAAGCACAATGACGGACCGGGGAGAGGGCTACAATGCCCGCCTAGGCGTCAATACTAACGAAATCCCCACGGCACAACACTTGCCCGTGGCCTCGGGCGCCGAGCAGGATCGGTACGGCGGTTGGTTCGGTGGCAAAGCCGATAAAGCTACCGAAAAGATTGAACATGCCGCCGACAGACTCAAGGAGAACCTCCCCCGCGGCGCCGGCGCCGAACAAGAGCGCTATGGGGGTTGGTTCGGTGGGAAAGCTGACAAAGCCACCGAGAAGCTCGAGCACGCTGCGGACAGGATCAAAGAGAACCTGCCCCGAGGCGTCGGTGCCGAGCAAGACCGCTACGGAGGCTGGTTCGGCGGAAATAAGGGAGACCAGGCTGCCGAGAAGCTGAGACAGAACCTCCCGCGGGGTTCTGGGGCCGAGCAAGATCGCTACGAGGGCTGGTTTGGTGGCCACGAGCTTCCTTCTGTCGACAAGCTCGGCGAGAAGCTGCCACGTGTGTCTGGCGCCGAGCAAGATCGGTATGATCGCTGGTTCGGTGGTAACAAGGGACAGCCCGCCGGCACTTGGGTCAAGGAACACTTGCCCAGTGCCTCGGGCGCCGAGCAGGACCGGTACGCTGCGCACTGGGAGGGCGTTGTCGATCAGGTCACGGACAAGATCAAGGAGAAGCTGCCTTCTGCCTCCCAGATCAACGAGAAGCTGCCCAAGGGAACTGGCGCAGAACAGGATCAGTTTGGAAGTTGGTTCGGAGGCGACAAGTTGCCGTCTGCCTCGGACATCAAGGACAAGATCCCAAAGACGTCCGGTGCTGAGCAGGACCGCTTCGGCGGCTGGTTCGGCAGCGACAAGCTGCCCTCCGGATCCAAGGTCAACGAACACCTCCCCCACGCCTCGGGAGCTGAGCAAGACCGCTTCGGAGCCCACTTTGGCGGCAAGGCAGGTCCAGCTGCAGAGGGGATCTCAAGAAGACTGCCAAGAGTCTCCGGTGCCGAGCAGGATCGCTACGGCTCGCACTTCAGCCTCCACCCCAGCAACCCCGTCAATGCGGCTACGACATCAACCCTCGGCCTCGTACAAAACGCCTTACTCCCATCCTTTGGCCTCCACGCCGGCTTGAGCACCGTAGTCTACGCCGTCGCGCGGTACACCGACCGCGCAGACACGAAAGACTGGCTGTGGCCCTCTGGTCAAGTCGCCAACGCCTGGTGGACCGCCATCGGCGCCCGCGTAGCTCACGATGGTCTGTCCGTCCCCTCGGCATGGAACTCTCTCGGATACACCCAGAAGCTGCTCCTCACTGGTGTTAGCGCCTGGGGTGCCCGTCTATTCTACCGCATCGCCACCCGCAGCGTGAAGCGTGGCAAGGACGACGACCGCTACGTCGCGTTGAAGAAGAAGGACCCCAAGTTCTGGGACAAGGCCTTCTTCAGCATGTTCTTGCCCGAGGCTGCGCTGCAGACACTAATTGCTTTGCCGTTTACGTTGCCATTCAGTGCGCCGTTGACCAGCGCGCGGTCGTCTGCTTTCACGGAGTTCCCCGAGACGTTCCATAGCTTGGCTGTCTTCCTCTTCACCGCTGGTCTTGCCCTCGAGACCATTGCGGACAGCCAGCTTGAGGAACACTCTAGGAAGAGCAAGGAGATCAACCGCGAGGGCGTCTGGAGCATTGTCCGCCACCCGAAGTAAGTAACCCATGGGTCTCAACTTCTCTCATTGAATTATGAAAGTTAACCAAGCATAGCTACCTTGGCGACGCCCTCGTCCACCTGTCCTTCCCTGTCCTCCTTTACAGCGCCGGTATGATGCACCCCCTCGCCGCCCTCGGCCCCATCGTCAACTACATTGTCCTCCGCTACCTCGGCGGCGATAAGGTCACTGAGGCCAGCCAGGAGGAGCGCTACGCCAAGGAGAACCCGCTCAAGTTCCAGCAGCTCCAGGAGTACAAGCGCGACAAGAACAGCTTCTGGCCCAGTCTTGGGGAGTACGATAACCAGTGGGTGTGGATTGTTGCTGCTACTGGCGCGGTTGGTGTCGCTGTTGAGCGAGGCCTTCTTGCTTACTTTAGGGGCTAAGTTTTATGAGAGGCACGTGTAAAACATAAATGTACTGTAATACTCTGCGATTGATTGATAATCGCATCCAAAATTGAGGAAATCGTCAAATATCATCAAGATTACTACTCTCTCATCGACGACGAAGAGCATAATGGAATTCAATTCCACCCATTGATTGCGTTTATCGACGACCTTTGTGGACGGTAGAGGTTCCCTGCCATTACTACCAATATCATTACTTCATTATCATGAACATCCCAAGCCGGAATGCTCAACTATGTACACCATAAACATGCCTAGCCTCAAGGAGCCTGACATCTAACCCCTCACCCATCTCATCCTTACAACAAGTTCAAGTCGAGGACAATGCTCGGCGTGCCCTCGAAGCCCTGAGGCAGCGTGTATGTAAAGTTCCAAAACTCAAAGTCGCGGATGGGCGAGCTGGTGCCTCCCATGGACCCAGCAAACGACAGCGCGTACGTCTCGTTGACGTTGCCCGAGACATTCACAGACAGGCCCTGAACATCAGCCCAGCCGGTGATGGTGGGCTTCTTGATAAAGGTACCGACGACAAACGTAAAGATGGAGTCGGCGGTGCCGTTGGGGTAGCTCAGGCTCAGCTTATTCGGCGCGACCTCGACGTCGAGCGACATCTCGGTGGGGTACAGCGAGATAAAGGCGATCTCGGCGCCCGTGTCCCACTGCACGACGGCCGGGTTGAAGGACGCCTGGTTGATGGAGGGCCCGCCGACGACGTTCTCCTTGAAGGATTCTGCGCCGATGGTGAGGTTTTCCGAGAGCCAGGTGCTGATGTTGCGGGGGACGAGGTCGTAGGGCGGGTAAAAGGTTGAGGCGGAGAAGGTGCGGTCTTCGCTGCCAAAGGTGGTGAGGTTCGCGACGAGGCCTTCGGGGAGGAGGCTTGCGTGGAAGTCGGCGAGGACGGCGAAGAGGGGGGCCCAGGCGTAGTCGGCGGCGTGGGACATGACTTGAGGCTATTCGGAGTTAGTATGCTGTTGTTCTACGAGTGCGCTCCTGGGGCCTTGGCCTGAGGAGCCAATTCGAGGATAGACTTACAGCAGAGATGAGGGAAGAGTTCTCCTTGCCAATCAAGGTCCAGAACCAGAGCGCCATCAAGCTGACGTAGCGGTTCATGTCGTAGCCGTAGGCGCGGTCCCAGGGTCCGGCCATGTTCTTCATGCCCGGGTGCCACAGCTGCGCGACGGCCTTCCACGTGTCGGCGAGCATCTGCGGGCCCTTTTGCGTCATGACCGAGTCCTCGGGGAGGTATTTGGACCAGAGGATCAGCCCGAAGAGGGAGACGCCCGTGTAGGTGCCCGAGTTGAACTCGGAGAGCGTGTTGGCGCGGTCAAAGAGATCGATGATCTCCTGGGCGTAGGACTCGCCCGAGGCCGTCATGTTGGCGTCGTTGAGGCGGCGGCCGGTGTAGCCTGAGACGAGGGCGCGCATGATGGCCTTGTTGGTGTTAGTGCCTGCATTCTAGCTGTTGTTAAGAAGAAAGGCGCTTACAGGATTGCTGTAGGCTGGGTAGAGGTTGTCGTCGTCGACGCCGCCGACGCGGTACTCGTCTCCCTTTGTGGTGTTGTGCAGCGACTCGAGGATGAGATCCTGGGTGTCGTTGCTCAGCAGGTGGGGGAACTCCTCCAACGCCATGACGAGCGTCGTGCCGACGAAACCTCTCCAGTTGGGGTCCCACGAGTTGTAGATGCTGTCCTCGTAGTAAGGCGATCCCACGTACGGTTCCCCGTCGTACTTTTGGTAGTCTCCGTACCTTTGTGTTGAAAGTCAAGTCAGTCTCTTGCACCCGTCAACTCAGGTGTGAAGAAGCTCTCACCATTGCTCCGAGACGTTCTTGAACTGCGCGCCAATGGTGTTCTTGATAATCTTCTCGGCCTCCGCAGCGTCGTCGCCGTCGTTGCGCGCAAGCAGACCCAGGGCGTACCAGACGGAGCTGCGCGTCTCGTGCCGCAGCGCGGACGCGGATCCAATGTCGTAGAGGTACCCCGCGGAACGGTCGTAGTACTGGTCCATCCACGTCATGGACTCAGTCAAGAGGCCTTGGGCGTTGGTGGAGAGATTGGCGACGTATGGCGACACCGCCATTGTTGAGCTGGCGAGGGCCAGGATGCCCATCGCCTTGAAGGTGGCTGCCATTGTGAAGAGAGGAGAGGACGAGAGGGAGCAATTGACGAATGACAGAGGAGTTGGAAGCTCAACAGAGACCTGGGGTAGGGGACTCAATTGCGAGCCCAGGGATGCGGTCTCAAGCTACCTTAATATACACCATCATATCGAATCTCGCTCTCTCTCACTCTCTCTCCGCGGCCAAGACCGCGGCCAAGAGTTGCCCATATCGCGCTGGGCCCCCGGAAGATCGTCGTCATTACACAGATACGGATACAAGCCGCGTGACCGGCGACGAACGGCAATGGGCGAGTACCAAGAGATGTCATGTTCAAGCAGGAAAACCCCTCCCCCGGGGTCCCGACCCGGGTGCGCAATCAATCAAGCAGGACAAGCTACTTTAGCGGCGGTGGCTGGGTGGGTTCCTCTCTCGACTTCGGGTCGGTGATGTTGGCCAGGTTAGGTAAGAATGCGGAGGTGATAACGAGGGTGGGAAGACATGGAGGCCTTTGACAACCCGTCGTCCTAGCTGTGGAAAAGGCAGGATGAGAGTCGTACTCCGTACACTAGTCTCTTAGAGAAAGAACATGAAGGATTCGAATTCGTAGACCTTGGCTCAGTGGGACGTTGTAATTCCCAACGGCGGGAGAGACCCCCTGTAGCCGAGGAAAGGCAGCACGAAGAAGCATTTCGGGGCATCCCCGAGCGAAGAACAGGTGATTGCCCGGAAGGACAGTGGTATCACTGGGTTACGGGCATGAACCGGGGTCGTGGAAGAAGAAAGCCGGGGGAGATGCGAGATGCCCGGTTGGCTCTAACAAGGATCGTCCCTGACCGATGACTCGGTGCCCCCTGCTCGCCTCTTCTCCGCACTTTTGGCAGTCCAGAAGGGCAGAAAAGAAAGTGTTCAGATGGTGTGGTACGGTTTAAGGTCCGATGAACGGGGGAGCTTGGTCTCTTGGGAGAAGTTGGAGGACCCGGTCCGATGTTTACCGGGTGATCAACCACGGCTTTAATGCCCGTATCTTTGCACTAATCAACTCCTACGAATACTGGCAGAAGATCTGACTGGGACTATGATTTTATCTGCCCCATAGCTTTAAGATGGACCCGTGGTATCGGATCGCGGCAAAGCACGGCTTGTTTCCGGGGGATACACGAAAAACTGTAAACACAATCGTTCTTCATTCTCAATTGATGGGGTAAAATCACCTGATGGGTCTGGCTGAAGCCAGAAGGACCCCATACGTACACTATCAATTGTGGACTAACGGCATTCTGGGGGCGAAAAACACCGTAAGGGTCCTACGGATCTGCATGGATATATGTTGACGATGTCGCCCACGCGTGACTATGGCACGCGAATACGACTTGTTGAGGTGTCCTGTCGACAATTGACAATTGAAGAGAGCTTGCAATTGTGAACGAACATCACCTTTGGCAGAGTTCAAGGGAGACATCATGGCAGACGTCAAGACACCCACCGACATCTCGTCGAGTCCGAGGCGGAGCGTCGACGCTGCTCCGGAGAAGAACCTTTCCGCAGATGAGATCCGTTTGGCGCAGATGGGTGAGTTTTCTCAGCATCATATCCTGCAATCATCTACTGACACACGCACCAGGTCACACCCAAGAGCTCAAGCGCCATTTCAGCACTCTCAGTCTCATCGGCCTCGCCTCAACGACGACAATCTCGTGGACCGGCCTCGGCCTCGGCCTCATCACCGAGATCAACGCCGGTGGGCCCGGCGCCGTCATCTACGGCTTCATCCTAGTCACCCTGCTCCAATGCTTCCTCGGCGCGTCGCTGGCCGAGTTCGTCTCGTCGTATCCCACCGAAGGCGGCATGTACCACTGGATTGCTGCCGTCGCGCCGAGGAAGATGACGGGTGTCTTGAGCTTTTTCACAGGCTGGTTTAGCGTGCTTGGCTGTAAGTTGTCTCGCCTTTCAATCGCATGTTGGGATGGGGAGGCTGACAGGCGTTGACCTTAGGGATCTTCACGACTGCGTCAACGAACCTGATCTACGCTCAGGTTCTCATGGCCCTGATCGCGCTCTACCACGGAGACCTCGAGATCCAGGCGTGGCAGACGTTCATCGTCTACCAGGGGCTGAACCTCATCACCGCCGGGATCGTCATGTTTGGTAACAAGATCATTCCTGGACTGAACAAGTTCTCCCTCTTTTACCTGCAAATCGGCTGGTTCGTGGTTATGGTCACCGTGGCGGCGTGTGCCCCGACGCATCGCAACACCGAGTTCGTGTTCCGCACGTGGATCAATAACACTGGTTGGGAGAATCAGGTTGTCTGCTTCATCACTGGGCTAGTCAATCCTCTCTACAGTCTTGGTGGACTTGATGGAGTCACCCACATCACGGAGGAGATGCCTAACGTGAGTTTCTTCTTCTTCCTTCGTTTGCTCAACTGATAGACAGTGTGCTGACCCTTGCTTAGCCATCTCGCAATGCACCCCTGGCTATCGCCATCACGCTCTCCATCGCCTTCGTCACGGGTATCACCTACCTCATCACCCTCATGTTCTCCGTCCAGGACTTTGACGCCCTTTCTACGACCAACACCGGGCTTCCGCTGGCCGAGCTGTTCCGCCAAGTCACGCAGGGGGCTGGGGGAGCGTTTGGTCTAACCTTCATTCTGTTCGTCGCTCTGGGCCCCTGCGTCGTCAGCTCCCAATTGAGTACTGGCCGTGTCTTCTGGGCCTTCTCCCGTGATGGCGCGATGCCCTTTTCCCGGATGTAAGTTGAGCCTTGCCCAACTACTGCACCATTAAACCCAGTGATTCTGACTTGTTCGTGATAGTTGGTCGAGGGTCCACCACAAGTGGCAGATCCCCTTGAACTCCCAGCTCGCCGTCACCGCAGCTGTCGCAGCTTTGGGATGTCTGTACCTGGGTTCTTCCACCGCATTCAACTCTCTTCTCGGTTCCGCTGTCACCATCAACAACATTTCCTACATGTTCCCCATCGTCACGAACCTCTTGACGCGTCGAAAGAACATGCACCGCGGCGTATTCCACATGGGGCCAACGTGGGGCCCCATCGTCAACGGCGTCACCGTCTGCTGGCTGACGTTTGCCATTGTCTTCTTCTCTTTCCCGTACGTGATGCCCGTCGAGCCCGCCAACATGAATTACACCTGCGTTGTTGTTGGCGGACTTACGGTTCTGGTCGGCGCATGGTGGTTCAAGGCTGGCTCTAAGTATAGCGAGAAGATGCTTCAGGCGAAGGAGGAGTAATTAGATCCAAGTCACTGAAATTCTATCTTCCGGAGCCGTGGAGTGACTGAGAGTTCCCTCGTCTCTGTCGGACTCTCGCACTAGATAGTTGAAAATGCGATGGGGTAAAGAAGAGGAGCACATAGTATAGACAAGGTACACTAAACGTATCCAGAGCCGGGTTAGGGTTACCGGATTTCAATAATTTGTCCCTGCGGGTGTCACGTCACGTTTATGCATGCGACAATCACGTAAACTCACGGTCCCACAAAGCTCAAAGGCCAGAACCATGAGGTACCACTGCACTGTTCTTAGTTTGCACGGATGGAGTAAGGAATTTAGTGTTCGAGGTTGATGCCACCCAGCTACCGGATCCTCGGGTTGCGCCACGTGGGGTTGACGGGTCCAGAGGACGCCCCCCCCCCCCCCCCTCCCCCGTTTGCAATGTGCTACCGGTCAAGTCGGAGAGCGAACACCGGAGGACAAGAGGAAGTCGGCGACGTCGACGGGTAGAATTGCCGATGTGATTTTTGAAGCTTTGGTTGTTCACTATAGGTATAGTTGCGTTGACTGCATGTGGTGTCGGAGCTGGTTGGCTATCATCTGAGGATTCATATACCCCCATTCACCATCACGTTTCCACATTCACTGATTACCTGAGTGATAACAGTCTAAAAACACATCAAAACCCACGGTTCCTTTGTCACTATCGTTACTATTCTTCTATTCTAAATCAAGTTGTTCAAGACTACATCGGACACAATGAGGCTCATCATCAGGCCTGATAGCGCATCAGCATCTGCCCACGTTGCACACTACATCCTCGGTATGACCTCTGTATTGATTGGGGCTTTGGAGAGGATAATCCAAAAGAGTTCTGACACCTCTTAGATCGCATCAGAACCTTCGAGCCAACGCCAGAGAAGCCATTCGTTCTCGGTCTGCCTACGGGCAGTAGTCCGATCCAGATCTATGAGATCCTAGTTGCAGAGCATAAGGCCGGCCGTATTTCCTTTCAGGATGTCGTAACATTTAACATGGTTAGTCCTCTTTTTGTCAATCTACCAAAGTCCGAATGCCGCCGTCTGACACAATGACCAAAGGACGAGTACGTCGGCCTGCCACAGACGCATCCCGAGTCATACCACAGCTTCATGTTCCGCCACTTCTTCTCACATGTCGACATCAAGCCCGAAAATGTCCACATTCTCGACGGCAACGCGCCTGACTTGGATGCCGAGTGCGCCTCCTATGAAGAAAAGGTCAGAGCTGCCGGCGGCATTGACCTCTTCCTCGGTGGTGTCGGTCCAGACGGCCACATCGCTTTCAATGAGCCTGGATCAAGTCTGGCGTCTCGGACGAGGGTGAAGACCTTGGCGATGGATACTATTCGGGCGAATGCTCGATTCTTTGGCGGCGATTTGAACAAGGTCCCGCAGATGGCTTTGACTGTTGGTGTCCAGACAGTAATGGAGGTGTGCATTTACTCCTTTCCAACCACAGCCTCCCTCTTTTTGGGGAAGATGAGACACTTGTGACTGCAGAGAACACCCTTGCTGACGACTATGCACAGGCCAGAGAGGTGGTCATCATTGTCAACGGAGCGAGTAAATCGATCGCTCTCCAGAAAGCGATTGAGGGTGGGGTGAATCACATGTGGACACTGTCGTGTTTACAACTACACCCCTATTCCATGATCGTTGCAGATGAGGACGCAACATTAGAGTTGCAGGTCAAGACTGTGAAGGTATGGATCTCAAACATTAGAGCTGTTTGTGTTGATGTTTTGCTGATTTGTACACCTCCCTAGTACTTCAAGAGCATTGAAAAGGTTGGCCTTGGAAAAGGTTTCGAGCAGAAGCTGCCTTTGAGACTTAGAACGACGTCACTTGTCAGCCCTCCTCAGACGCCCCGGACACCGTCTAACACAAAGCCGACATTTGACGAGGATCACTTGGTGGAGTTGACGCCAGACAGCATGTCTTCTCGTATTGCTTCATGGCCTGTCATCTAGTTGACGATGATGCTTCGCGCGGGGTTATACATGCAGATTGGGAGTGGATGGACATTTGTCATTTGAACACCCGTAGTTTAGAGTGCAGACAATACCAAAGTCAAGCAGTCAATGAAGTAATTGTTCCATAAAACCTTAATCACGACGTAAGTGAGCTACTCCAGGATGTTTGAATGAGTGAATGAATTCAAAGGTTATCCTCCCTGGTTCTCGTACGACCAAAGCTCATATCCTGCTTGCAGACTCGATTGGTCAAAGATATACCATGAATTATCCAAGTTCCGGATCTCTTGCTCGAACACCTCGGCGTCTCCAGAAGCGGGCGTATGAAGGCCCTGAAGTTTCTGTTCCAGTCGTGTCGCTAAAATGCCTCGCAAGCTTGGCTTCGGCTCGTGCATTTCCTTCAGCTTTTGGAGATGAACTCCAACGTTCTCAAGATCTAAAAAGTATCATCAGATAAGTTATGGACCCTTACATCAGTCACGAAGTGGGCATCGACTTACCGTCTGGTTCTCCTACTCCACCGTCTACACCTTGAAGGACGATGAGAGCAGCCCAGGTGATCATGACGAGATCCCAATTCGACCATATCGAAGCATCTAGAATTTGAAGCTTGACCGCCGCTCTTGCTGACACAAGCAGCTCATGCTGCTCTTTCGGCGTCGTGTTCGAAAACAGGTTGCATCCTCGGGCAGGGTGGTAGATGGATAGCACGAGAAGCCTGTGCAGGATATACTGCCGGAATACCAGTTTCTTCTCGTGCTCCGACTCAAAGTCCTTGTCGCTGAACTCAACGAGCCAGTCGTCTAGCTGCCTTGCCCAGTCGCGAATGACAGCGCCGTCGACGCCGCTAAATTGGACGGAAGATATCTGTAATACGCTAGGTTCGCTCTCGAAACAGGACCATATCGTTGGCAGACCTCTGCCTGTGAAGTGAGTTAGGCCGGTGTGCATCATCCTCGAGAGCCGATAGAGTTGGTCCTGTATTGGGATCTTGAGTCGTGGGAGAGGCGCCTCGATTGGTATGACTGGGCATGAGAGATGTATTGAGGCGTGCTCGAGGTCAACGATCTACTTGATGTTAGAAAGATGCAGAAATCCGCTGGGAAAAGTTGTCCATTTTACCTGAAGGCCAGAAAACAGGCGTTGCCACTCGCGGGATCGCTCATCGGTGTTGGAGGGGCAGTGCTCGAGGATGAGCCTGTAAGCGAGAGATATCCAGACCCCCGTCTCTTTAACGACGGCTTCTCGTAGCAGTCCGGCGAGTATGATTCCCAGAACGGTTTGAAAGGCCCATTCTTCAGCTGAAGCTGGGTCATCCGGGGCTTGACCGACTTCGCTCTGTGGTATGCACAGCTGTGAAATGGCACTGCACAAGACATTGAAGTAGTCTGGCGCCAAAACTGCGACTTCTGGCAAGCCTCGTATACTTGAGCAGTATAACATTGAAGCTAGCATGAGTGGTCTCGGCGATGAGAAGGTTTGCTTGGTTGGGAGGAAGTGGAGCCCTGGCATGGACTCGTGGAAGCTGGAGGAGTATCAGATGTGTTGGTGCAACTACGAGGTATGGTGTCGAGAATCTGGGGCGAACGTACGATAACCATAGTCTTTTGATCAGGGATTTCTCCCAAATATTTGAGCTTGCGTTTGATGAACATGTCCTTCGCAAGACAGATACAGCGCTCCATAGAGCACCAAGCGATGTCTCCCCTGGTGTGTCGGGTTCGAATGTTGGTACATCTGGGGACACGGGCGAGTCTGCTTCTTCCAAGTTGGTGAGGACTGGCAGACCCAAGTGATCTTCCAGTCGCTTCAACCGAAGAAACACGGATTTATTCAGTGCTGGGGCATGCTCATTTGCCTGAATCAACGAAGCCAGCGAGAGACTTTCACGATGAGACGCGGACTAGACGATTCGTCAGACACGCCTTGGGAGGGTTACAAACACAGAATGAGACGCTGGGATAATTGCCTACATTGGCTCTGGGCACGAACACGCACGGCACTCCCGCGCGGAGGCATCTTCGACATGTGGCCCCATTCTCAATTCTACATTTCATCTGTGGTCACGAAAAGGCCGGTTAGACTATTCGCCTTCACCAGAGGGCCAGCTCCAAGGCCGACATACCTTTTGCCTTCTACAATTGACTTGAGGTGGGCACACCCGTCAGCGTCTACAGTCGCATGCAATGAGACGAGGTCCACCATCTGCTTACCGCATGCCTTCCGGGCCTTGCTCGGGCCCGACTCATCCGGCCCATCGGCCGACGCTTTGTCCCTCATCTGGTGAGCAGACATTATGAAAGCGGTATGTTTGTGCACTGATACTTCGATTGCGTTGTTCGAGTCCCACTGTATCAATTGCGACAATTGCGAGAAACACCGGTGTCCATTGGCCTTGTTTTCGGCCAGGTTCGATTCACTGTTGCTTTCTTCGGCGGGTACCCGGTGAAACAGGTGGGATCGGGGTAGAGTTAAGATTCACCGGTCGCACCGGGGAACCGGTCTTTTTGAAGATTTGGGTGACGAGTGCTAACGCGGGGTCCTGGACCCGGTCCTTGATAGGCCGGGGGTTTGTTATTGGAGGGATTTCTGGCTAATTCCAAGCGGTCCACCGAGCCAACCCGGTCCGGATTCACCGAGGCATCGATGGTTGTGGTAGACTGCGCCAGCTGTGAGTGTTCTTAGTTCTTACAGTACATGCCGAAGAGGTGACCTTCCTTTTCTTTCCGAACGGTTGTATCCTAGCTGCAGGAGTTGGTTCAAGTTCCGGTGCCAAAGTCGTTCTTTTTGCCGCGGGGGTTTGGATACTTGATCGGTTGCCAACCTGCTGATAGGCGCTGGCACCCATGAACCTAGCTTTCCCACCAACAACAGCCCACGACTAACATTGTGTGTTGGAAGAGTGGTGTGTTTCAATGTCTTCAACTGATTTTGAGCATGACAGGGCGTCTGAGTTGATAGCTCAGGCCCGAAAAATCGTACATGACTTCGATTTCCCACCGGAGGATGTTCGTCGCGCCACAACTCATTTTTTGAAGCAGCTAAGTGAGTTTAATCAACTCTGGGTTGTCGCGCAGCGTACTGACATCACTGAAAGATGAAGGACTTCAAGAAGATGGCACTTCAATGTGCCAGATTCCTTCATTTGTAACCAAACTTCCCAATGGTTCCGAAAAGGGCGTCTGCTTGGCCATTGATCTTGGCGGTACCAACTTGAGGGTATGCTCTGTCGAATTACACGGAGACTCCACCTACTCCTTGACTCAGTCCAAAGCCGTCATTCCCAGACACTTGATGGCTGCGCCAACATACAAGGATCTCTTTAGATTCATCGCGCTGCAGATGAAAGAGTTTCTGGAGACGCATCACCCAGAAGACCTCACAACATGGTCTCAACTCCTGAAAGAGGGAGACGCAATCACTGAAGAAATAAGACAGAAACACTGCAAGAGCCTTGGCTTCACTTTCAGTTTCACTTTCGATCAGCATGCTATCAATGAGGGAACACTACTGTACTGGACAAAGTCATTCGGTATCGCTGATGCAGTCGGCCGCGACCCGTGTGCCATGCTGCAGGAGGCTCTCGACGAGCAACACTTGCCTCTCCTGGTCACAGCACTGGCTAATGATACCGTTGGTACTTTGGCTGCACGAGCATACACATCTCCGGGACGTTCCAGTAATGTGGTAGGCGCCATCTTCGGAACCGGCACCAACGGAGCCTACATGGAGCGCGTTTCTCGCATCACCAAGCTGCACTCACGTGTAGAGTTCTCAACTTCGGCATCGGACGCAATGATGGCGCTGAATACCGAATGGGGAGGATTTGACAACAAGTTAGAAGTACTACCTTCAACACGATTCGATCGAGACTTGGACAGAGATTCTGTCAACCCAGACGATCAGCATTTCGAGAAGCGCATATCCGGCATGTATCTTGGTGAACTACTTCGGCGCATACTAATCGACCTGTCACAACCTGGACAGAGCCTATTTGGCTTCCAAGTCTCGGGAGACTCCCCGCTTTACACGCCGGACAGCATTGATAGCTCTTTGCTGTCAGCAGCGATGATATCACGAGGTCTCGGAACCAACCTTCTCAGACCTTTTCTCTATGGGGCACGGAGCCTGTGGAAACTAATTACGAGTTGGCTTCATGTAAAAGTTCGATTTACGATTTCATCGAAGGGCACATCGGGCGACTTCTCTACACCCGGGGACGGGGATAGCTCTCAGGCGGAAAATGATGGCGAGGACTCGAACGAAATCATCGATGTTGGGGTTGATGGTTCTTTAATCGAACATTTCCCTAACTTTGAAGAGAATCTGAGGGAAGCTTTGAGAGAAATTCCAGAGATTGGTGTCATGGGTGATAGGAGAATCAGGATCGGCATGGCGAGAGATGGTAGCGGAGTTGGGGCTGCTTTGATTGCATGGGCGGCGAGGGCATAATATCTGTGGTAACTCAATCAATGGGCGATTGAAGTTCTGGAACATAAGAATAAAGTGATTTAACATCATTACTAACTGACTAAATCATGGGGATATGATGCGGCCCGGTTCTAAGGCAAAGGAATGGTCTGTGGCTTTAGCTTTTCGGGCGTGTTGTGATGCTGGTTTCGCATGGAGACTCGAATCTTCATTCACTGTAAGCCGCCAATATTATTCGAATACAGATGAATCAAGATAAGCCCTCGAAAATCGGCTCATTCACGAATTTGGTTTCTCTATACAGGCTCATAGGCGAAGACTCTTCACTCTGCAGCATAGGATGCGATAGCATCTCTAATAGAAAGTTCGAAACCTACCTACAAGACAAAGGTCAAGGCGAGCAAATCACTGAAACTGCTTCTAAAAAGAAAATTTACCTTCTTCCATTTCGCAACAAAAGGCTTCGCGCTATGCATTTGAGATACTGGTTCGGCCTAATGTACATGGTCGGCAGAGGTTATGCACACATGGCCATGACTGACCCGCCCCCAATCAAAGCCAAAGGGAATCCGAACACCTCACCTGAGAATGCCGACTACAGCTACACAACCCCATTATCCTCAAGCGGTTCTGACTTTCCTTGCAAGGGCTACTTGAGCCTTCTGTGCACCCCACAGACGGCGCCCGTCGACAATTGGACTGTCGGCAATAGCTACTCTGTTACGATTTCTGGTCATGCTGTGCACGCAGGAGGATTATGCCAAATCAGCCTCTCACTAGACGGCGGCAATTCATTCAAGGTTCTCCGCAGCATCATCGGCGGCTGCCCAAGGGGCAATGCAACACAACTGGGATTCAGACTGCCAGACGATACGCCGTCTTCTGACCATGCGGTGCTCGGCTGGACGTGGTTCAACAAACTTGGAAATCGGGAGATGTACATGAACTACGACATCATCAGCATCGTAGGCGGAGGTGGACATGACCATGGTGAGAGTTTCAATAAAAGACCGGAGATGTTCAAAGCGAACGTGGGTAATGGATGCAGGACGGTGGATTCGAGAGACGTCATGATTCCGAATCCGGGGCCGAGTGTGGAAGTCAACAATCTCGATGCTGTGCCGCCGATTGGTGAGTGCGAATCTGGGCCGGGAGCGACAGCGGGGTCCGATTCGGGGCTAGGATCGGGGAACGGGGGCAATGGAGGCGGCGGTGGTAGTGGTAGGGGAGGAATCTACAAGCCCGGCAATGACTGGCCTGCAGACTTCAACCCGAATTGCGGCAAAGTTGTGGCCGATGAATAGGTACCTGACCTGATCTGCACATGCTTTGTAGTCATTTGAATATGTTTATATTGGGACATTTGGACGATTGGCTTTCTTACAGGCCTGATCTTGCTAAGACGTTAAATTACCTTCGCGTCGGCACTGCTACTGATTAGTTGAAGAAAAAAGTGCAGAAAGGAGATTTTGGCACCAAAAGATTGCGGCTTAATCACCGATCCGCCCAAAGCAACAAGATGCATGTATCTCATCGCTGTCGGGAACCAAAAGGGTAGATGCAAAAGACTGAGGTCGTACCCGGGTTCGAACCGGGGTTGCCGGAAAGGTTCGATTTTGATGTTATCAAAATCCGGAGTGATAACCACTACACTATACAACCCTTAATGGAGGACCTGGGTACCTTCTGGAGTTTATGTAGGGTGTGCATGGAGCGGCCGCGCGAAAATGGAGCGCCCCGCTGGGTGTGGCGGTGGTGGCTGATGGAGAGAGGATCATTCCCAGGGGCACCTGACCAATGGACGTTGGCATAGCTTCAGTGATGACTCATCACAATTTCCACATGCGCCACAACCCAGCACCCTCAATGTTCCCCTTATCTCCTGACTGATGATCTGCTGGCTGTTCTATTCGCCCCATCGACTCAGTTTTCTCCCACGACGGCGTGGAGATCTTGGCCGACTGGTGATGTTAATGATGTGTTTCAGATCCCTGGCGACTCTCCATGCGAGAAATAACGATTTACGAATGACGCCTTGAGCTTGACCGGATACGTGAGCAAACCCGACAAGGCAATCTCGGGGCGTTTAACATGAACTCCGGTAGATGCCCCGCCGCTACAAGTTTCTGTGGGGAACATCAATAACAGTCCGACGGTATGCCCTTCTACATGGCATGTAATCGCGATATGTGAAGTTGATGGCTCGAGGGATATCAAACCTTACGGATCACAAGATGTGTGCAGTAACGTTGGTTCCCCGCAAGATACTTGTGAATGCAACCCCCCGCATTTTACCCCAGATGTTGTTGAACTTCTGGCGCGTGGTGACTTTCTGGGGATCTCCGAAGCCGTGAACTCTCGCCATTGCACACCCGGCCCGCAACCTCCCCCGGCGCCGGTTGTGGTGGAGTCAAAGGTGTACCCCGTGAACACTATGAAATACCCAAAAAGATCTCAGCCAGAAGTGTCATGACGAGACGAAGCTTCCAATTCCACGACTCAGCATCGATCTACTCCAAAGACCCGCTTACTGAATCTGTGTCTCACCAGTTGCAACATGATGAGGGTAGGTCTCGCTCAGGATTCTCGAAATGGTAATGTGCTCATGACTCCTAGGTCTTCTCATCACTCTCAGCTCTGCCATGGGTCGCTTTATTCGCACAGCCATGCCTTGCCACGGTAGCCGACATTCCTGGTGTGTTTGGGTCAGTGCCACTTGTATCCGCGTCTCCCGTGGGTGATATCTCATCATACCTCAAGAGCCGGCCAAGTGACTTCGTTCATCCCGGTATCTGGCACACGCACGAGGATCTAGAGCGCATCCGCAATGGGATACTCGAAGACAAAGATCCTTGGGCGTCAACCTATGCCGTTTTCAGCAAGGACAGCTACAGCTTGTCAACCTATGAGATGAAGGGACCAAAGCCGGTCATCTCGCGTGGCAGCGTCAGCAACTACACGTCCTTCGCCTCCGACGCCCGAGCCGCATGGCAGAATGCCCTGATGTGGTACATCACCAAAGATGACGCCCACTGGAACCGCAGCACGACCATTTTAGATAGCTGGGGGTCTACGTTAGTCGACATTATCGGCACGGACCGGTCCCTCCTCATTGGCTTGGATGGCGATCTCTTCGTAAATGCCGCGGAGATCATGCGCTGGGAGGGGAACTGGACCGAGTCTGGAGCACGTTGGCAAGGCGGGTCTGGCTTCAGCATCCAGCTCTACTGGCTATTCTCACGACAATCTATCCCGATTGGCCAGGCAAACTACGGAATGGCTAGTATTAAGGCGCTCCTGAGCTTTGCTGTCTACCTCGACGATGTTACTCTCTACAATTATGCCATCAATGAGTATTTGAACAACCCCTGTGCGGGGCTCTACTCCTTCTTCGACCCTGAGACGGGCCAAAGCTCGGAGTCCGGCCGCGACCAGAGTAAGTCACCCTCAATTCTTCGACGAAAAAGATGACTGCTAATCGTCAAAGGCCATGCAATGTCCGGCTTAGGTTGGATCGCTCAGGCTGCGCGGGTAGCCCAGAGTCAAGGTTCCGACCTCTACAGTCAAGGCGACAACCTGCTTCTGAAAGGTGCAGAGTATACGGCCAAGTTCAACCTGAATGAGACCGTTTCATATGATCCAAAGTGGTATAGGTGCGAAGCAGTTCTTGTCAATGGGCCTTGGGCAATCATCTCCCAGGACAAGCGAGGTGTAACGGCTACGAATCCAATGTGGGATATTCTGTACTACCAGTATGTTGTAAAAAGACAGCTCGAAGCGCCTTGGATCACAAAAGCTAAGCAAGCTGTCGGAGCTGAGAGCCGTTTGACGAGTAATGATCATCCTAGCTGGGGTGGGTTGATATGGGCTTATTGACCTATCTAGGATATGTCGCATATTCGCATATACATACCTAACGTAGCAATCAAAGCAAGACAGAAACAGCATAGTCCACGTTGATGGAATCGTTGCCTTGACAAGGAAGATTCGTTCCTCATAACCATGTATTTTGGTAAGGTTGTCGTAGGTCATGTGCGTACATGCTTCTTCCATGGGATAAAACCAGGCATTAAACAGTGGCCAAATGAAGAACGAAGGTAGAAGAATACATCTTATGTTATATATGGGAATGATAGTTGAATATAGACAGAAATTATATGCTGTTGGAAGGACAGTATGAGCAATCGAAGAGACAATGAAATGGGAACTAATGAAGGTGGCTACCAAGATGGTTACCAAGGTGGTAGAAAACGTGAGGGATGCAGATCAGTGCCAAGCCGAAGTATCCCAGAGAGAAAGCAACTGGCTCCGATCCTACTCCAATCTGTAAAGAAGGGTACCAAATCCTAGCTGGTCGTAACCGCCGCTGGTTGTGCCGTAGTCGCCGCCACCTCCCTCGGCACCACCGGCTTCTTCAACCACGTGGTCGCGCATTTGCTCGGTCCAAGAAGCATTGAGCCCCTTGATGACACCGTAGTGATTGTAGAGCAGCTCCCAGATGGGTCGAAGTCCGCCACGTCCAGATTCGCTGATATTCACAGCCGTGCCGTGACTGTTGGTAAAGTTGGTAAAGGGGACATCAAATCCGAGGTTGTACTTGGCGGCGTACTCCGACCTTGGTCTCGTGTTAGTATTCATCTCATGTTACTGTGGTAGACCTTACTTACCCTGCCAAAATTCTGTTGTCGAGGTACGAAAACAAGTCATCACCCTGGTTGTAAGACTGTTGCGCAAAAACGCCCAAGAAAGCAAAGTCCAGCAGAGCATGCCCTTGGTCACGACCAGCCTCTTGGCCTTGACCAAGGACCTTGCCAGACCCTTCCTCTTCATGCAATTCCCAGATAGCAATCTTGATGGCGCCATTGCCAGCACCGTTTTTAAAGTAGTTGACTGCCTCATTGTACATAGTCTTGTTGTCTGACAAGATTCCGATAGCCTGCATGGTGCACATATTGGCCAAGTCCCAGTTGGCCCAGTAATGGTCGATGGATGCGCCATTGTGGTTGACAAGGAAGTTGTGG